ACATGAAACTGATCAGCAGCAACATGATGTGATTTTTCACAGTGATTATCCTGGTTAGATATTCATAAGGCTGCACAAACTCAAGTTCATGTTGCTGTTTGACGTGTTATTTTGATTGTGTACTGCTATTCGTGCTTCGTGTATTATTAGTACAAACCGGATTCCAAAAAAGTTGGGACACTAAACAAATTGTGAATAAAAATTGAATGCAATGATGTGGAGGTGCCAACAGCTAATATTTTATTCAGAATAGAACACAAATCACAGATCAAAAGTTTAAACTGAGAGAATGTATCATTTTAAGGGAAAAATCTGTTGTTTCCAAATTTCATGGCTTCAACAAATCCTAAAAAAAGTTGGGACAAGTCTATTTTTACCACTGTGTGGCATCCCCCCTTCTTCTTACAACACTCAACAGACGTCTGGGGACAGAGGAGACAAGTTTCTCAAGTTTAGAAATAGGAATGCTCTCCCATTCATGTCTAATACATGTCTAACTGTTCAATCGTCTTGGGCCTTCTTTGTTGCACCTTCCTCTTTATGATGCGCCAAATGTTCTCTATAGGTGAAAGATCTGGACTGCAGGCTGGCCATTTCAGTACCCGGATCCTTCTCCTACGTAGCCATGATGTTGTGATTGCTGCAGAATGTGGTCTGGCATTATCGTGTTGAAAAATGCAGGGTCTTCCCTGAAAGAGATGACGTCTAGATGGGAGCATATGTTGTTCTAGAACCTGAACATAGTTCTCTGCATTAATGGTGCCTTTCCAGACATGCAAGCTGCCCATGCCACAAGCACTCATGCAACCCCATACCATCAGTGATGCAGGCATCTGAACGTAGCGTTGATAACAACTTGGGCTATCCTTGTGCACTCTGGTCCGGATGACATGGCGTCCCAGTGTTCAATAAAGAACTTCAAATCGTGACTCATCTGACCACAGAACAGTCTTCCGTTTTGCCACACTCCATTTTAAATGACCCCTGGCCCAGTGCAAACATCTGAGCTTGTGGAGCTTGCTTCAAATAGCTTCCTCTTTGCACTGTAGAGTTTCAGCTGGCAACTGAGGATGGCACGGTGAATTGTGTTCACTGACAACGCTTTCTGGAAGTATTCCTGAGCCCATTCTGTTATTTCCTTGACAGTGGCATTCCTGTTTGAGGTGCAGTGACGTTTAAGGGCCCGGAGATCACGTGCATCCAGTAGAGTTTTACGGCCTTGACCCTTACGCACAGCGATTGTTCCAGATTCTCTGAATCTTTTGATGATGTTATGCACGGTTGATGATGATAACTTAAAAGTTGTTGCTATTTTACACTGGGTAACACCATTCTGGTATTGCTGCACTATCTTTCTGCGCAACAATGATGGAATTGGTGATCCTCTTACCATCTTGTCTTCTGAGAGACATTGACACTCTGAGAAGCTCTTTTTATACCCAATCATGTTGTCAGTTGACCTAATTAGTGTTAATTGGTCTTCCAGCTGTTCGTTATATGCTCAATTTCCTTTTTCCAGCCACTTATTGCTACTTGTCCCAACTTTTTTGGGATTTGTTGACACTGTGAAATTTTGAATCAACATATTTTTCCTTTAAAATGTTACATTTACTCAGATTCAACTTTTGATCTGTCATCTTTGTTATATTACGAATAAAATATTGACATTTGCCATCTCCACATCATTGCATTCAGTTTTTATTCACAATTTTAGTGTCCCAACTTTTTTGGAATCCGGTTTGTAGATGTTTTTTAGTTGATATTTTCCTAATTCATATCTTAGATCTTATTACTGTTTTTCTTTTACATTTTGTTGTTGTCTGTAACTGGGACCCTGTGTACATAATTTCATCCCAATTCAGTATTTATTCAACATTTTATTTTTTTTTACTTTAAAAATAAAATAAAAGCAAGTCCTTATCGGCACAAATAAAGTGATGTGGAACGTGTTGCATCTGTTTTTACCAAGCACAGAAGGCTGCAGCGTTGTTGCTGCTCTGTGAGGCACAGGTGGGCTGCAAGCCTGCAATGGAGACCTGTCGGATGTAGACTCCGCTGATGGAGCAGGGGCAGAAGCCGGGAGGCTTGGAGGGTTTAATGTGGAGTTTAGAGACGAACCGTCACACGCTGAAATACGTTCTGGATAAAATACAGTGAGAAACGGGACCGGAGGACAGTTAGCATTTATGCAAATTAGCTTAGCATCGTAGCACCAATGTTGTCCTATTATGGCGTCAGCCTCTTTTTTTTGTTAAAAATATGTTCAGAACATGGGATGAGTAACTTAAAGTATATTTAAAGTTAGAAAACACCATCTTCTATAAATGATTCAAGTAGAGCAGTGGCCGTGTCCAAACCACCCTCCAATTGTTCCATCTAGCTCACTTTGACTTTTTTCGTCGGCCACCAAGCACAACAACACCTGGACTTCTGCATTTGACCACAGCTTTGATATTATTGTTTTTGTATAGCTTCAAAATACTAAAAGATACGCTTCCCGAGTTATCGCTAATGGCAGGCGGTAGAGAAAAATGGCAGATCGGGTTGTTTGGAAAGACTCCACAGACTCCTCCCCCCGACCAATCAGTGACCGACAGTGTTTCTGACGTCACGGCTCAGCTCGCTTGGACCCCTTGAGAAGCGGGGCCAGAATTATGGGAGGTGAGCCGGTCCCAAGTACTATAGAAAAGACCTCAAACACGGGTCAAGCCCGAAATATCCGACCCGCGCTGTGACAGTGGAAAAGGGGCATTTGAGAGGTCAAGGTCAAGAGCTTCAGGTCTTTTTTGTAAGATATTCCAGGAAACAGGAGTGGAGTAGGAAAAGGTCCTTTTGCCAAGTTCGGTCTGCACTGAGGGAATACTGCAGGTAATAATGTCTTGAGAGTGCACGCTGTAGCTGCACTCACACAGTGACATGTAGGAGGAGATGTATGAAGGTAACAGACCAAGAAGTGATTTAAAGATGAAAATGTACCAGTCTGTGTGAAGTTAATGATGTCCAGTTAACCAGTGAATACAGGTGCAGTGGTGGGTACGATAATCACAGCCAGTTATGAATCTTTGTGCACCGTGATAGACCGTATCCAACATCTGCAGGGTGCTTGTAGGAGCGTTCATGTAAATAATGTCACTTTAGACAATGGAGGGAAGGAAATTCACAGTTACAAGGTGTTTGTTAACATTCAGAGTTAAACAGGATCTATTTCTGAAAAAGAAACCCAGTTTAACTTTCATTTTCTTTACCAAGTTTTCAAAATGAGGCTTAAAAGAGAGATGTGAATCAACCAAAATACCCAAGTATTTATAAAAATCAACACTCAATAGGAAAACCATACGAAGATTAAAATAGAAGAAAGGGCTGTTTGTACTGACTTCCTGTTTGAAAACAACATCCCTTTAGTTTTATCCACATTTAGCACCAGTTTGAGATGGAACAAATATGACTGGATGATGTCAAAAGCAGACTGTAAAAGCTGGAAAACCTTAGCAACTGTTTTAGCTCGACAATAAACAACTGTAGTCAGCATAAAAATGTATGGATGCATCAGGAATGATCTGACCTACATATGTAGATTGTGAAGAGGGTGGGTCCTAAGACTGAGCCTTGTGGTACACCATTGTTGACTGTTAAGTAACTGGAGGAAGTACCATTATGTTGAACACATTATCTCCAATCTGAAAGATAGAGAGCCAACCAATGGTGTGTTCTGAGAAACCAATTTCTGAGATCTTATGACACAAGATGTCATGATCCACAGCATCAAAAGCTTTAGACAGATCTAAGTAAAGTGCAGCAATAGTCTAATCAAAAATTTTAAATGGCCGCAGCCTGGCAGTCCCCGTCAAAGTTTCTCCAGGAACTTTCTAGTCTCATTTTATTCTTGTTGATCCAGGATCCAGTCTCATGACAGGAATGTCTGAGTTTCATGATACTTTCACTTTTCTCAGACCACATCTGTTGCAGATGTTCAGAACCCAGATGTGAGTGGGGGGAGTGGTGGCGCAGAGGTTAGAAGATGGGCCTGTGATTGGAAAGTTGTAGGTTCAACTCCCGGTACCGTCAACATCAAAATGTGGTTGGATAAGGAGAAATGCCCACACCTGCCCCCACCCTTGTTCGCCCCACTCTGGGCCCATGAACAAGGCCCTTAACCCCCATCTGCTCCCTAAACAGGTCTCTCTTGAAAATGAGTTCTCGTGGCTCAATGAGACTACTTGTATAAATAAAGGGTAAATGAAATTGAGTCTGAGCCATGTTCTGTAATCTGTAATAATCTTCACAGAGGATGTTCTGTTTTATCACAATGCTCATTTTACTGATCAGCTCCGAGTCATGTGAGGTCATCATGTGATGAAGGTGAGGAAGAGTAAACTCAGCCTGTAGGGCAGTTCCATGGACAATCAGCAGAACCTCCAGTCTGCCCAATTAACTCTTCACAACCTGAATTATGGCCCTGTTGCCATGGAAATCCATGATATCCCGTCACAGTGGCAACCTGTAATACATAAGATGAATACTTTAATTATCTCATCCTGAGTACTTGTTTTTTTTAATCCAAAAGTAAATAAAATTAAAACCAATTTTGCACCAGAAGTCCCAGAAGTTTAATCCGCCACAATCAAAGATTTTTTGTTATCTCAGAAACTCACAGTCTGTGATGAAAGTCTCACTTTTTTTAATCAGCAGGGTTATAAAAGGTTTAGTCCTAATAATAAATAATTACAAATGAATAAACATATTTGTAGTCAAACTGTGAAATATTCTGTTTCTTACCATTTGCTCATATTGTTTGTAAACTGAAGCAAAAATCTCTCTTTAATTTATTTGTTAATCATCTAAAGTAACGGGAACTGGTTGGTGTCCAAACACACACTGATTTTGTTTTCTTCGTGTGGTTTCTGTCAGACTCAGAAACTGTCGGGAGCTTTGGATCTGTCTGAACCTCAAGCTTGGATTAACCAGATTAACCTGTCCTGGATTGTTCTTTTGTGTTTCAGAGCGGCTGTACAACTCCAAGGGTCCAGAGCTCAGACGGTGTTTGTTCTCGCTCAAACAGCTCTTCCAGGTAAGCCCCTCGTCTCAACGCCTCCATCCACGGAACTTAACCTCCCTTTCATGTCCAAGTCTGTTGTCAGGCAGGAAACACTCACAGGAAGTATTCAGGTACAAAGTACTTCGACTGTACTTAAACAGAAAGTACTCAGACACTTGGGCAGGAAATACTGAGATACTTTGACGTTATCCCAAGTATCTAAATGAATCCAGTGTAACAGTTTTTGAATTGAAGTCATATTTTGCTTCAGAGTTTGAGCTGCAGAAACATTTGACCACCATGTGAAGATCTTCATGTTCAAATGAAGCAGCTACATCGATAGCAGCAGAGTTTTCTACTCGCTGTTAGGGGACAGTAAAAATGAATTAAAATGAAAGGCATCTGGTCAGACCTGCTGCAGAATGCCACATAAAATACAAGTAGCAGCTGATTAGATGAGTCTACAGAGCAGGTGTTCAGTTTTATGGTGCAGGGTTCAACATCCTGCAGCTCCCATTCTTCTGACCAGCTGTTTGTTCTTTTCCTCTCATGTGTTGCATCATCGTTGTTTTTGTGTGAAGTGAGTTTGTCCTGGAGGGTTGGTGCTCTTTGTTTCAGTGAACAGAGCGTGAGCAGGCTGAAACGTGATGGAGATGAGCTCCGACTTGTTCCTCTGCATGCTTCCTGGTCCTTTCACTAAACCAGTGTCTGAATTCTGCAGGACGATAAAGACCTGGTTCCAGAGTTCGTGGCCTCTGAAGGTCTGACGTGTTTCATTAAAGTTGGAGCCGAGGCCGATCACAACTACCAGAACTACATCCTTAGAGGTGAGGGTGAACCAGGGACACCTGGACAGGTCTCCAGTCCATCACAGGGACACAGAGAGACAAACAACCATTCACTGTTTCACTCACAACACAGTCATCACTCTTTGTTAAAATCAGGTCTTTCTTGTAAATGAGTCCCCGAGGCTCAGTAGGATTAACCTGTATGAATAAAGGTTGACGGAGAACAATGTTTCTGAAGGAACTAAGATCTAAAGGGAAAAAGTTCAGCACAGTTTGAGTTTGTTTGTGGCTCCTTGGACTGATGAAGTCCTTTGGATGAAGGACGAAATGTCTCAACAGTTTCACTTTCACCAAGGGACAATTTAGAGTCACCAATCAGCCTAACATGCATGTTTTTGGTCTGTTGGAGGAAACTGGAGTACCTGGAGAAAACCCACGCATGCACAGAGAGAACATGTGTTGTCCTTTTCAATTCTAGAGTAATGCACTGCAGCAAACACCTCGCCCAGCTGTCAGCAAGGTGGTGGAGGTCTGATGGTTTGGGCTCTGAGTGGATCATGAACTCTTCTGTAGAACAAAGGCTTCTGGAGTCAGATGTGAATTCATCTGTCCAACAGCTGAAGCTTAGACCAACCTGGCTCCAACAGGAACATGATCCCAAACACTACCGCTGATCTTCAACAGAACGGGTCAAAATGAAAGAATCAAAGTGCTACAGCGTCCAGTTAAAGTCCAGAACCTTTAGAACTTTAGAGAGCTGAGAAGAAACTTCAATGAAATAAAGCGACGGTGAAAAGAAGAGTGGGTCAAAGCTCCTGTGACACGGATGAAGTCCTACAGAGAACCACTTTTGAGAGCTGTTACTGCTGAAGGAGGTTCTACAAGCTGCTGGACCAGGATCTGGAACCAGTTTTTGTTTAATAATTCATGATCAGCTGAATACAACAGAGATAAACAGGAAGTAACACATGTTCATCTGTATGAAGGTAACTGCAGGTAAATCCTCCATTTTCTGTCATAATTACATTGTATGGTTAACGGTTAAGTTAAAGGTTAATGATTTAAAGCTAATTGTGTTTTGTGTGTTTCATATATATGTTGTAATTTCTAGTTGCATAAGTTTAGTCTTTGCTATGATCAGTTAACACTAAACTGATTCTGTACAAAGTGTTTTTTGGATTGTGTAATGTAAAACGGAGTGCTACATCTATAGCATCTTAGCTAGTGTGTCTGTATTGCGCGCTGCTACCTTGATCTAAAATCCCCACTGTGACCAAGTATAATATTTTGTCTCATTTGTTTAACTGGGTTCTCTTGATCTATTTTTAGGACTTGTGTGAAAATCTGATGATGTTTTAGATCATGTTTATGTAGAAAATTATAGAGTTCACAAACTTTCATTCTCCACTGTAAGAACTGAAAGAAGGTGAACTTGCTTTTTCCATGACTTTAAAAGCCAACGAGTCTCAGCTCTGATGGTCCGACCTGTCTCTGCTGCCAGCGATGCATAACTCAGGCTTCAGCTGAACAGTGAATACACCATTAGGCCTTACTGTCGACCAGTTTACAAAGGAAAATGATTCGCTGTTTTGTTCCGAAACTAGACAGTTTCCCATGTGGTCCATGTTGGAATGGAAAGAGCTTCATCATTGTGATGAAGATGATAAATGATGCCTCTCTTCATCAACATGTTGTGACTCCAACTTACTCTCTGCTGGAAAACGAAGAATTCTCTTCACACGTCTTAAGGTTTTATTGTCCAAACTGGAGTTTAAACTTGACACGTGCAGCAAGCCACGTGTGGTGTGCAGCAGCTGGACTCGTCTGTGGAAACTGATCAATCCGCCTGTCTGTGTGTGTGTGTCCTCAGCTCTCAGTCAGATCATGCTGTTTGTGGACGGCATGAATGGAGTCATAAACCACAACGAGACTGTGCAGTGGCTCTACACGCTAACTGGAAGTCTGGTGAGTCCACAGGATCACTGGCACACACATAAATCACATCTTCCTCAGTCCGTAGCTCAGTTCACACTTTGTGGAATGTGTTTAACAGAGCCGAACCGAACCACACGTGCACTGTAAGGCTGTGTTCACACTGCAGGTCCTAATGCTCAGTTTCCTGTTTTAATACGCCTGTCGAAAGTGAGGCATATTACGGTATGAGCTCTGTCAGTGAACTTTCTATTGCCCCACCCATAACTTCTGATCTGCTCAAGATAGTTAAATGAAACTTGATACATGTATACATCATCACTTAAAATGAGTGTAGCGAGCATCTTTGATCACCTCAGCTTCCAAGTCAAGGTGACAAACCAAGGTCAAATGTTATGTTGTCTGGGCCATTGCTATAGATTGCTCTGTCCACCTTATTCCTAGCCCCCATGCTGCCTTCCGTCAATTATGGATGTGACTTCCATCGTGGACCAGAACCGGCGTTTGTTTATGTGTGAACAGTACGAGCTAATGTAGTTTCTCTCTGAGCATTGTGGATTTAATTTAAACATGTAGGAACACCACCTGTCAGAGCTCAAACGTAGTGGCTGCAGATTATATCCATCCATCATATTTACCTGCTTCTTCCTTTTCGTCTCACGTGGGTCACTGGAACCCATGTCCCGTCATCATTGTGTGAGAGGTGGGGGACACCCTGGACAAGTCTCCAGTCCATCACAGAGACACATAGAGACAAACGAGACAAACAACCATTCACTCTCTCACTCTCACCTAGGGACAATTTAGAGTTACCAATCAGACTAACATACATGTTTTTGTCCTGATGCAATCCAGGTAGAAAAATCCAAAACAGTTCAATCTGGTCCTCTGGACATTCAAAAAAAAAAAAAAAAAAAAGCAAAAAAATGTAGAAACGTTTCTTCTTTCATCCAAGAGACTTCCTCAGTCTGAGGTGCTGTATTCAGCTCAATCTCTTAAATAGCACCTTCTCAGAGTGGATCAACCAGTTTGCTGCTGACAACCAAAACCAGCTGCTCAAGAAGGACCATCAGCCTAACAATGGATCATTAGCACACTGATGGCTGTTTACCATTCACAGGGGGTTGAGTGATACTAGCAATAACAGCATTGTAAGAGGGGGACAGTTGAACCCGGAGGCCTCCACCCCTGTTTAATAAAATCGTCCATCATTAAACAGAAACACCCCCGGCCATCTACTAGCATATTTAGCTACATCTACTAGCTACATCACTAACTCGGTTCTTCTGATGGTGAAGCGATGAACATCCTGAAAAGCTCTGAGGTGTGTTAGTATCCCCACAGTAATAAGGTTGGTGGTGTTTTCTTAAAAGAGGTGGGACAGAATTTTATTTACCTTAAATCAGACACAGAGTCCAGACAAAACCTTAAAGTCCTCCGTCACTGAGCTTGGGTTAATTGCAGAAAAAAACATAAAACTGAAGATGATCAAAAACTATAAAGCTGTGACCTCCATACACTTGAAATCATCCCTGATGTTCTCGTCACTGTTTTCAATCCCTTGAGGATCCGGCGTCTCTTCTCCGGTGGTTTATTGTAGTCCAGACACAAAGTAGGATGCAGGTTTTCCTCCGTCGGCCGTTTGTCAACAAAGTGAAATGAGCACACATGCAACGTTTTGGCTGGTCTCTTCAAGTTCACATTTTTCAGCCACATTCTTCTTAATTCCTCATCTGTAGGTAGGAGATGGAAACTATACCTCTTTTCACAGGAACTCTTTTTGTTTTGTGTCCGTGTTCAAAACTCTGTTGTTGTAGCTACTGATTTAGTTTGGTCTGGTTGTTCTGCAGCCCTGAACACAACAGGTACCTGAACTCAGCACGGCAGTTTTAGTAAACTCTATGGTTGTTAAATAAATGTGAACAAAACAAAAACAGTGCTTTATCTGCTGAACTGAATGTAAATTACTTTCAAATAAACAGTGGTCCGTGCTCCACTACCATGGTTAACCAATGATTACTGCTACTTCCTGTCTGACAGGAAGTTGTACCATAATCATTTAGACAGCAGAGCTCCAAGGAATAAGGTGGATAGTAGTTTGTCGACAGGTGTTTAATGTGCTGTATGTGGTACTTTAGTTTTTTATTTTGCTGAGGCGTGATTTATTTATTGTGGTTATTATAATTTAAATGTGACCTCTGTTAGACTCTAGTGTGAACAGTCCATGGCCCTGAAGCAAGCTGCAGAGGAAGACGTGGCGTCACGCACAGCACTCTGTGTTTACAGAAGGAAATATGGATGCTACATGTTAGCATGTGCCATGATTGTTGGATCCACTGTTTCCATTTGAGCTTGCCTCTTCTCGTCTACTATGGCACAGCATTTTATTTTGTGAACAAGAGCATCATACTGAAGGTAGAAACAAACTTGTGTATTGATCCTATCACGGTACTATCAATATGCTCCTTCAGCAACGTTGGTATTATATGTTGCTGAAATGTATCAATCATTCAGGACACAACAAATAAGAAAGACAAAGCACCTGGATTTCTGTTCTGTAGGTTTTTTGTCTAAGGTTTAAACTGTTTGATGTTGGTGATATCAGTATATTATTTGGATCGATTTATATATGTCAATGACATAAAAGTCAGATGAAATCAACATGACCATTCAAATTCAAGTTGCCTTGAAAAACATCAGACCTGATGTAGCACCACATATGAAAATGACCTGGGTTGGATTTGGGTTGGAAAAAAAGGATTTGTCACATTTATAATGTCATAAAAACTCAGATATGAGTTGCATATGGGAGAAAAAAAAACTATGTTGGGTCTATTACCTGTAGTGTGAAAATGGCCTAAGATTTTTTTAATCAGGGCAGGTTTACAAAGTAGATGAGTGGCTCCCCCTGCTGGATGAACACAGCTTGTTTGTGTCTCCAGTCTCGTCTGCTGGTGAAAACATCTCTGAAGCTGCTCATCGTCTTCGTGGAGTACTCGGAGTCCAACAGTCCTCTGTTCATCAGCGCTGTCAACATGGTGGACAGAAACAGAGGTGCGTACAATTTGTATTTCATTTCTTATTAGCACATCGTAATAACTTTTCATGTCTGTTGCCTAATGCTAACATAAACACATTAGCACCAAAACCTATCCTCTTACTCAGAAATGCTGTCCAGCTGTCTTAGAAGGGGCCTTTGATCACCTTTGGGGCTAGTGTTCCACATGGTCACATACACAGAGTTTACTTTTGGTTCAGAAGTAAAACATTTGTGGAGGAAAAGCTTCTGTCTTAGCAGTGAACCCACCTGACTCTGTCGCCATGGTAACAGATGGTGTAAATCCATTGTTAGTTTTATTTAAACCAGATAACAGAGATCCTGAATTGTTGTGAACCTTTTGGGATTATCAGTCCTCAGGTAATGTGTGTTAGACATGATGCTATGGTTACCACATCAAGTGTGCGTGTGTTGCAGGTGTGAGGCCGTGGACTAATGTGATCAATGTTCTGAAGGAGAGAAATGGTTCTGACACGGAGCTTCTAATGTTTGCCATGACACTCATCAACAAGGTAAATAATTTGATCCTGTTGTAAACAAACATTTCTGAACCTCCTGACACAGAAAGCTGCCTAAGAGGTAAAGCTAATTTAATTAGATTAACAAACTGGAAAAACTAGATATTCACTTTAGTCAGCCATGTTGAGCTCAGAGTTTTGTTGTCAGTGAGTCCAGTCAGATCACCATGGCAACAGGTTGAACTCATCACCTGCTCCGAAGCAGTTTAACATCATTTTCTGCTCTAATTGTCTGTAAGAAGGACATCTGTTGGTTGATTTTGTTCTTCTGCTATCCCAGAAACAGAAATCAGACTGAAACAGATTAAGAGGAATAGCATTTCCTTTGAAAATGAAGTGTGAATGCTGAGTGCTGAAGGATTTTGCTGAAAGCTGCTTAAAAAGCTAGAGTTTACTTGAAATACATCATTAGCTAAAAGATTCAGAGATTAAGCTGCATAAAGCACAAAAAGCAATAAAATACATAAATAAATGTGCACAAAAAATTGAAATTGGGTTTAAATTAAAGCTTAAATGTGCCGAAAAGCAGTAATTAGAAAAAACAAAAATAAAACAAGAAGCTAAAAGTAATTTGAATAAAGGCATAAGTAAGTAGAGAAATATTAGCAAAACACAGGAAAAACCTAGCTTAGAATCAGAAGTAGAGAAATGCTATCAAGAAATAAAGAAAAGACTGGCTTGTATCCATAAGTAACAAAACACAAGCAAAAAGCACCATAAGGCTAGGTTAGAAGCAGAGGTATTGAAATGCTTACAAAAAAACGGGTAAATGAGCTAGAGCTAGCTTGAAATGGGTAGAAGCAGCAAAACACTAGAAAATAGAAAAACAAAGTACAGTATAGATGAATCAATGCCAGAAGTAGATAAATGCTATCAATAAATAAAGAAAAAGCTAATTTAGGGTAAGAAGTAGTGAAGTTGTGGTAAATCCAGTTTAACCATAAAATCAGTAGAGATCATTGTTGACCATGAACCAACCAGCTGTCAAGAATGAGATTTATATGTGAAAGGTTTCCCAATTTAGAGCTATTTAAAGAAAGGGGTGACCTTTGACCCCGTGACCTTAAAAATCAGTAGAGATCTTTGTTGACCCACAAGGTGTCGGATGATAATTTTGATATTTCTTTAACAATTATTAAATTAGAGCTCTTTAAGGTGGTTATTGTGTTATTTATTGTGATCTATTATGGTTGAATAGAACCACAATAGATCACAAAAACTGACACTGGTGAAAACGTTGATGATAAAATATTACCCTAAAAGCTCAAATATGTTACAGCTTACTGACGTAAGAGGACTGAAGAGAGGAGACAGGAATGTAAGGAGATGGGACGTACAGTGTAGAGCAAAGAGGGAGGTGGCTAAGGTAAAACAGAAGGAGTATGATGAGTTGTATGGGAGGCTGGACACTAAAGAGGGAGAGAAGGACTTGTACAGATTGGCAAGACAGAGGGATCAGGCTGGAAAGGATGTGCAGCAGGTTAGGCTTGTTAAAGATAGGAATGGTAATGTTCTAACAAGTGAGGAGAGTGTGATGGGAAGATGGAAGGAGTACTTTGAGGAGTTAATGAATGAAGAGAATGAAAGAGAAAGAAGAGAAGAGGACATAGAAACTGTGGACCAGGAAGTGGGAAAGATTATTGAGGGTGAAGTTCGAAAAGCTCTCAAACAAATGAAGAAGGGGAAGGCAGTAGAACCTGATGACATACCAGTGGAGGTTTGGAAATGCCTTGGAGAGATGGCAGTGACGTTTTTGACTTAAATGGACAAAAAATACTTGAACAGGAAGTCAATTAGCATTCACACTATAACTGTTGGAATGTCAAACATTTCTGACTTTCAGCCTTTTCCTCTGAGATCTATAAAAACATAATAACACCATAAAGATGTTGTTTCAGTGTGACCAGAATCTGTAAACAGGTGGAGCTTCTTACAGACACAAACTGATTTGGAGCAGGTGGTGGGTTCAGACTCTTGATACCATGGTGATGAAGCAGGATTCAAAGAGAACCTCCTCTGTGATCCTGAAAACTTGGACTTTCAGCCCAACATACCTGGACTTTAAACTCCATTGTACAAAGTTCTGTAGAATTAAATGAGGTTGTTGACGAGTTAAACGCTGGGTTTCCATCAGGCCCTGGCTGCACTCCCGGACCAGGACTCGTTCTATGATGTGACCGACTGCCTGGAGCAGCTGGGGATGGAGGACATCATCCACAAACACATGATGGACAAAGGGATGGAGCCGGACCTGCGAGCACAGTTCTCCATCTACGAGGTACCAACATGAACAACAATGATGACAGACGTAATTACCTGCTATCCTTGCTGCCAAACACCTGGAGGACAAGGAAAACTTAGCTTAAAAACTGAGGGACTATTTAGCTTCCTAAAAACCTGAAGATTTCATCCAACTGTCTCAAGGATATGCTGGTGAAGATTCTCAGTCATCCAGGACATGATGAATTCAAAAAGCGTTCAATACAAAAACATCCATCCATCCATTTTCTTTACCCGTTTGTTCCATTTTGGGTCACGGGGGTCGCTGGTGCCCATGTCCAGCAATCACTGTGCGAGGGGCGGGGTACACCCTGGACGGGTCGCAAGTCCATCACAGGGCCACATAGAGACAAACGAGACAAACAACCATTCACTCTCACTCACACCTAGGGACAATTTAGAGTTACCAATCAGCCTAACATGCATGTTTTTGGTCTGTGGGAGGAAACCGGAGCACCCGGAGAAAACCCACGCATGCACGGAGAGAACATGCAAACTCCACCCAGAAAGGCCCCTGGACCGGGGTTTGAACCAGGGGCCTTCTCACTGAGAGGCAGCAGCTCTACCAGTTGCGCCACCGTGCTGCCCCAATACAAAAACAACTGGACTTTATTTGTTTATATGTTACAAATAAAGTCCAGTTGTTTTTGTATTGAACGCTTTTTGAATGTCTCAAGGATGTTTTGTTAGTTTATTGTTTGCTGCAGGTCAATCAGGTTTTTTGTTTTCAAGGTTAAACCAAAGGCAAAAAAATAGTAATTTTTCCATCCATCATCTTTACCTACTTCTTCCTTTCCGGGTCGCAGGGGTCATTGGATCCCATGTCCAGCAGTCACTGTGAGAGGTGGGAGCCACCCTGGACAGGTCTCCAGTCTATCACAGGGACACAGAGACAAACAAGACAAACAACCATTCACTCTCTCACTCACACCTAGGGACAATTTAGAGTTACCAATCAGTCTAACATGCATGTTTTTGGTCTGTGGGAGGAAACTGGAGTACCTGGAGAAAACCCACGCATGCACGGAGAGAACATGCAAACTCCACCCAGAAAGGCCCCTGGTGGGATTTGATCTGGTGGCCTTCTCACTGAGAGGCTACAGCTCTACCAACTGCGCCACCGTGACACTAAAATTGCCCTAACTTCCATATTTTTTCACTGATCCAGATAATCTTTGTGTTAAAAGAATAATTCGTGGACTTAGATTTATTTATTTATTTATTTATTTGTCTCATTTATGGTAAACACAAACCTCCAGGTGAACAGAACATGTTTCTGTGATGAACTGTCTTCAGTGTTGTTAAACAAGCTGCTCATGATGAATCGTGTCCATAATGTCCTCTACAATCTCAGTACGAAACAGAGTTTAAAAATAATCTCTGTACTTTTAATTAAATTATTTTTTCCTAGATCTTATATCATTGTAAATATTTTAATTAATAATCTGACTGTTTTTAATCAGTCAACATATTCTCTGCTGCCTCATTTTTATATCTGTGCATTCAAATTCAAATAGCTTGAAAAACATACAATGTCGTTATAATCTTTATTAATCCGTATTGTTTAAAAAGCTGTAGTTTTATTGTTTGCCTTTCTGTTTTCATTTAAAGTAATTAAATCATGTTAAAATGTTTATTAGGAAACTTGTTAGTTAGGATCTCATCATGTCTGTTTTAGTTGTTCTGAAAGATGTTTGTGTGTGCGCACGTGTGTGTGTGTGTGCAGACAGCTCTGCGGAACGAGGACAACGACGGGGATGACTCCTCCCCTCACCTCCGTAAAGACAGAAGAAAATTGGCCATCAGCGAGCATGAGGGCCGCAGGAGCCGACGCTCATCCAATCAGAACCTCCCTGACCTCCTGTCCCCCTCCCCCACCAATGTTACCATCCCGTCCCCCACCAGTTTGACTGTCCTGTCCCCCACTAATTTGACTGTCCTGTCCCCGTCCTCCTCCAGTCCTCCCGTCTCCCCTGCCATATCCTCCCCCAGTCTCACTCCGCTGGACAGCAACCTGTTGTCACCTCTATCCTCTAACGCCAGTAGCCCCACCTCCAGTCCATCTGGATCCCAGAGAGGATCGCCGCTGCCCCCCCACTCACCTCCCAATGGCAGTGTGACCACGGAGCAGGAGACCAAGGTCCCACCCAGCCCGTAAGTCCACACCGTGCACGGACCAACACCTCCTGTTAACGATTGAGCGTTCATGAGGGAGACTTCAAAATGTCTCCAGACATTCACGTCTCAGCCTCCTCCTGAGAGTCTGACTAACCTGGCAGTGGTCCAGATACTCTGTTTAGAGCTGCCATCAGTGGAAGCCCAGTGAGATCTACTCCATACCTGAGGACTCAGACTCAAAGTAACATTTATTACATGAGTCTAACAAAGTTAGTCCTCTGGACGGATAAATAAAAACTTGTTGAAACATTTCATCTTTTATCCAAAAGACTTCTTCAGTCTGAGGAGCTGCAACAAACTCAGTCTTATAAACAGTAGCTAATGTTTACATGCGCAAAATTCTTTGACTGCATTGAAATGTTTGCAGATTAAATAATCCAAATGTATCATTTACATGGGCACAATCTGTTCATGACGAGTGTTTACATGCAGCGGGCTTTTATTGTGAACAGAAGTACTGACATGTGCAGAGTGTTAAACTCCTTAAAAAAAAGAAGACGAAGTTCTACTTCCAGTTTACTTCCATGATGAACGTAAACAAACCTGAGCATCCAAAATGGACCCGCGACAGGTTTTTAATGACGTGGAGACGTTACTGCACTCCCTGACTGAGCTAATATTATTAGCATTAGCCAGGCGGAAGTACGTGAGGTAGACATACAGTGCCTTGCGAAAGTATTCGGCCCCCTTGAACTTTTCAAACTTTTGCCACATTTCAGGCTTCAAACATAGATATAAAATTTTAATTTTTTGTGAAGAATCAACAACAAGTGGGACACAATCGTGAAGTGGAATGAAATTTATTGGATGTGTCAAACTTTTTTAACAAATAAACAACTGAAAAGTTGGGCATGCAATATTATTCGGCCCCCTTGCGTTAATACTTTGTAGCGCCACCTTTTGCTGCAGTTCCAGATGCAAGTCTCTTGGGGTATGTCTCTATCAATTTTGCACATGGAGACACTGAATTTCTGCCCATTCTTCCTGCAAAACAGCTCGAGCTCAGTGAGGTTGGATGGAGAGCGTTTGTGAACAGCAGTCTTGAGCTCTTTCCACAGATTCTCGATTGGATTCAGGTCTGGACTTTGACTTGGCCATTCCAACACCTGGATACATTTATTTATGAACCATTCCATTGTAGATTTGGCTTCATGTTTTGGATCATTGTCTTGTTGGAAGATAAATCTCCATCCCAGTCTCAGGTCTCTTGCAGACTCAAACAGGTTTTCTTCCAGAATGGTCCTGTATTTGGCCCCATCCATCTTCCCATCAATTCTGACCATCTTCCCTGTCCCTGCTGACGAAAAGCAGGCCCAAACCATGATGCTGCCACCACCATGTTTGACAGTGGGGATGGTGTGTTCAGGGTGATGAGATGTGTTGCTTTTACGCCAAACATATCATTTTGCATTGTGGCCAAACAGTTTGATTTTGGTTTAATCTGACCAGAGCACCTTCTTCCACATGTTTGGCGTATTTCCCAGGTGGCTTGTGGCAAACTTTAAACAACACTTTTTATGGATATCTTTGAGAAATGGCTTTCTTCTTGCCACTCTTCCATAAAGGCCAGATTTGTGCAGTGTACGACTGATTGTTGTCCTATGGACAGACTCTTCCACTGCAGCTGTAGATCTCTGCAGTTCATCCAGAGTGATCATGGGCCTCTTGGCTGCATCTCTGATCAGTCTTCTCCTTGTTCGAGATGAAAGTTTAGAGGGTCTTTGTAGATTTGCTGTGGTCTGATACTCCTTCCATTTCAATATGATTGCTTGCACAGTGCTCCTTGGGATGTTTAAAGCTTGGGAAATCTTTTTGTATCCAAATCCAGCTTTAAACTTCTCCACAACAGTATCTCAGACCTGCCTGGTGTGTTCCTTGGTCTTCATGATACTCTCTGCGCTTTGAACACAACCCTGAGACTATCACAAAGCAGGTGCATTTATACGGAGACTTGATTACACACAAGTGGATTCTATTTATCATCATCAGTCATTTGGGACAACATTGGATCATTCATAGATCCTCACTGAACTTCTGGAGTGAGTTTGCTGCACTGAAAGTAAAGGGGCTGAATAATATTGCACGCCCCACTTTTCAGTTTTTTTATTTGTTAAAAAGTTTGACACATCCAATAAATTTCATTCCACTTCACGAGTGTGTCCCACTTGTTGTTGATTCTTCAAAAAAAATTAAAATTTTATATCTTATGTTTGGAGCCTGAAATGTGGCAAAAGGTTGAAAAGTTCAAGGGGCCAAATACTTTCGCAAGGCACTGTAGGTCGCATATGCGCAGTCAGATCAGTTTTCCACGATCGGAAAAAAATGAACAGATTAAGTGTTTACATGCACACTGTTTGGATTATGAATCAACATAAACCACCCGTCTCATTCTGATTACAAATTCATTCAGATCGAGCTGAATCAACAAAGAATAATCTGAATGGGGCGTTTACATGACACATTTTTATTCCAAATGGCCGTTTAAGTCCTATTACTTATGTCCATGTAAACAAAGCTACAGTTGATCAAGCAGTTTGCTGCTGACATCCAGAACTATTTGTTCACATGATAAAGGAGGACCATCAGTCTAACAACTGATCGATAGTGTCCTGATGACCATTTTCTATTCACAGAGGACTGAGTGATACTAGCAATAACAGTGTTGTAAGAGGGGGACAGTTGAACACAGAGGCTGATGATCCTCTTTGATCATGTGAACAGCTAGTTCTGGATGTCACAGCAAACTGGTTGATCCACTATGAGAAGGGGCTATTTATAAGACTGAGTTTGTTGCAGCTCCTCAGACTGAAGAAGTCTTTGGATAAAAGATGAAATGTTTCAACAAGAAGAATCAGTCCAGAGGACCTGACTCACCTGGTTAGATTACCTGGATTATTGAGCAGCATCAGGACATTTATTACATAAAGTTCAGGTTTTAAGTTGAGTATTGTGTGGACGTTTCATCACAGACAAACAAAAAATAAATCAGTTTGGTTTATATTTTGTGAAACATTTAAAAAAAAAATTATTCTGCTTTAAATAATTTAAGGTTTTTGATCAGCTTTAACAGTTAACGCGCTCATCTTGTTAAGTTTAATCGCAAAGGCTGGTTCTTGTGACAACACTAATCATCTCTGTCAGAAAAGTTGTTTATTTTAAATCATTACAGTAATATTTTCAGGATAAAAGTATCTTTAAATTCTGTTTCGAACTTTAATCTCTTTATTGTACACAATTCAGGCAAAGTTGGGTCGTTGTGTAAAATGTAGATAAAACAAAGCAACATAAATCTCATCAACTGTATCCTGTTCACACTGGAACATGTTAACATTTCAAACGTTAAAGAAAATGTAGCATTTGTCATAAAGAAGGTAATTATTTTATTTGAAAGTAGCAGAACACATCCAGGTCACATCTGTGAGACATGCCCTCTTCTACTAACACTCTATAAACATCCAGGACCTGAAGAGACCAGTTGGAGGTGTTGGAGCGTCTGTCTGTTCTGTTTGGAGGCCATCTTTGCTGAACTTCTTCTTTTATGACGGCTCAAACGTTCTCAGCTGCTGAGAGGTCTGAACTGGCTTGTGGTTTCCAAACTATCATATCTGGATCTGTCTGACCTCAGAACAGTTCTGGACTTCACCTCGGTCCATATGAAATGAGCTCTGGTCCAGAGAAGACAGCAGCGGTTCTGGATGGTGCACAAACATGGCTTCTTGTTTGCCTGATAGAACTTTATCCATCATTTATGGGTGACACAGTGATCTGTGTTTAAAGACACAGGAAGTGGAAGTATTCCTGAGCTCAGAACAGAACCAGACCTGTTTTTAATGTAGTGTCCCCTGAGGGCCCCAAGATCAGGACCTTCCAATATGATGATTTTTTTTAAATATTATTATTATTATTATTATTATTATTATTATTATTAATATTAATATTAATATTAATATTATTATTATTATATCGACTTCAGCCTCTTTTTTGAGCTCAAAATTTTTTACAGATTCTTCTAATCTCTTGGTGAGATTATGAACTGTAGATGATGGAGATCAAAGTCTCTATGAGACCGACTTTTCACAGACTGGGGAGCCCCTGCTCATCTTCACTTCTGAGGGATTCACCTCGTCCTCCCACTGACAAGTTGACCCAGTTAGTTTCAAGAGGTTTCCTGTTCGTAGCACTTCCTCTGATGGCCTTTTCTTTTCCAGACTAACTTTATTCAGACGTTTTGCTGCCATAAATTCAAAGTTACCTTTTTCTTATTTTTGAAATGTTTAAACTCCTGAGTTTAAACATCTTTTTAATGTACAAAGTTTGTTTTCTCAGTCATCCAGGTATATAACAACAAAAAAGGTTGAATCATGTCATCTGGACTTCGTTTTTTT